CAAAGAGTGCACAAAAAAACTTCTAAAATGAAAGGGAAAGCTTTTCTTGTTATTAAAAATTCAGCCAGTAAGTTTTCCTCTCATGTAAAGGAGTTTTGGGAACAACTATGAAAAAGAGTGTATCCGTCGAACAAGGAGCTAAACAACATGTGGAGGTGATTGATATTCGAAGAAAAAGTTGGAAGATTCCAATGCAACCTATAAGGCTGTTGCTGATACACATATGGGCCATAACACATTTCAGGTGGGTGGTATGGTTATGGGTTTCTGAGGAAAGAGCATGGTGGAAGTTAGACGAAGCTGAAAGATTTATGACAATGCATATGTCCTTGATCTTCTAGAGCATATGAACGTTTTCAAGACATGTAATGTTGTAGATCTTTATGAGTATGTTTTAGATAACGATGGGCCATTGTATCTTGATGAAAACCCCGGGTCGAGTCGTTCTAAAGTGGAAGTGAATGATACGGATCAACTAGAAGAGAAAATCATAAACAAATTCGAAAAGAGTTGAAGTAACAAAGGTCTACGAAAACGTGTTCAAATCGGGTGTTACATTTGTGCCAGCAAGTAATTTCGAAAGCATTATTTGACTCTGCACATTTTTTGCTAACATTTCAAGATTTCAGTGTCTAATTCCATTGTTTAGGGTCCATTATAATGTTTTTCTATTTTCAGTTAGCTCGAGGGTATTTTCATCATTTTTGTAGGTTTTGAAGTTTTATTCAGAATTAGAAATTTGTTTTGATTAGGAATCATTTTATCTCTTTAAATATATGTTAAGGGTTTAAAAATCCTACAAACATTTTAATTAATAATATTTCAATTTTTCGGTTAATTGGTGGATTTCAATATTTCTCATGTCCGTTCCAGTGAAATTCGAGCAACGCCCATTCGTGTATTATGAACAAGACATTATTATTATTATTATTATTATTATTATTATTATTATTATTCTTCACATTTCCGTCCTCCTTCACGTTTTAATGTTTTAAGGGACTTCGTGTTGTTTCTTTGTTTGTTTGACTATTCTTTGTTTCCATAGTTTCATATTTTGGGTAGAGAAACGGAGGGTAGGGCCATCTCTCCTCCCTCTATTTCTCTTTTAGGGCTCATTTATTCATTTCATACCTCCAGCCTTTGTCATAGGCCTTTATCTGATCAAGTATACAAATCCATTGGGACATCAAAAAGGGCAAAGGAATTGATGCAGAAACAGGAAATCATATTGTGGAAATTACTGTTGAATTTTGAAAGACTTTTAGGGGAGAGGTAAAATCTTATTTTTCGTATGATTATCCCAATGATCTTATATTCATGAGGTTAAGAAGAATTTTTAGAAAATGGGGAATAGGGAGAATCTTAAGAAGAATTTGAACAATCTTATATACATGAAAATATGTACTTATCTTGCAGGGATGATGTGGCTAAATGCCACAGTAATGCAAGAGGATCTGAGATACCATGAGTTGGCATATCAGCGCAAAATTGGCAAATAATCATCGATCTTTCCTAATTGGGGCCTTTTTGGACACGTTTCGGTATTTTGGCCATAACTTTGGCTATGGTTGTCAGAATCACGTTCATGACCCCAATTCGAAAAACTCTTCTCGATGTGCATCGGTTTCGAGGCCAAATTCAGTTGTTTTCCCTTCCAAATTATCAATTTAAGTTATTTTTTGCCATTTTTAGTAATATTTCAATTTCCTTTTTGACATAAATTACGATCTCAAATTAAACCAGATTTTTGGGATCTTATTTTCGTCACTAAGTATTTCCTTTTTGTATGAATAATAAAATTTTGCTATTTATGGTAAAATCTCGAAAATTATTATTTTCTAGCTATTTAACTTGACTTGTGGGTTATTTTCGCTTAGTTGTTGAATAATAAAGATTTTCTTTTTTTTTTTTGGTGTTATTCTATTGCGTTCTTCTCTGTTATTGTCCATTAGTTCCAACTTGCAGAATAATCACTATTCTGCCAGGTGTCAACATGGAAGGATGGGCAAGTGTGGTACAGCGGAGGCTGGAAAAGTCTCTGTGCCTTGAACTCTGTAAGAGGAAAGGACACATGCACCTGGGAATATGTCGGAGGTAGGTTACATGTCCAAGTTGTCCGAGGAAATAATTGAAGGACATCTGAACTTGTACTTTATCTTTTTGGATATATATATATTGTAAATCTATTATTTTGCACAGCTACATTTATCAGTCTGTGAACTCTTGATGCTCTATTTTCTTTCCTTTTCTGGATGCTGGCGTTCTTTGAACTCTGCTCAACAGCTTTTTCTTGGAAGATCAAAATAGAACTTCTATCCTGAACTAATTTTTAGTTCTTCAAATTTAAATTTTTATAGGTCTGTATTTGACCAGATAGGAGGTTGTGACAGCAAAATCTTGCTTTTGTTCAAATTATACTCGATCTCCTTTGCTTAAAGGCTCATGTTACCCACACCTAAATCTCCAAGTAAAATCATAAAAATTTATACACTTTATTGTGCTTATGTTGCAAAAATTTAATGTAGGAAGTACTTCATACTCCAACATACAATACTCATAATCTTTCTTAGAATCCATATAAAATATTCTTTGAAATTTCCTCAATATTCATTCATTTAGCTTAACCAAGCTTAAGTCCTAAACCTTTTTCATTCTATGATATCTTCTACTGGTAAGGCAATGTCCCCGTTAAATAAACTCTGTGCATATATTATTAACATTCGGAATGTTTCTCTAGGGTTTTGTGTGCGGTTCCACCTCTTAGAATTTCAATATCATAACAAGCTCCAGTACAACTCTGATCACCAGTATGTCATCTGCTTTCCATTGAGATTGAGGTTTAGTTGTGATATTTAAGTGACATGTAGTCTTCCTCAACGTCTTCTCTGCCTTCAACATAGATATAAATCAGGGTGGAGTCGTAACCTCTACAGAATTTAATTGTTCTTCCCCATATCTTGAAACATAACCTTTTCTCACGGCAAAAGATGGTTGCATATTTACTACTTAACTAGTTCTTACCCAATATCGCATCGTAAGAGGTACGAGTTTGACTCCATCCTGTTCCCTGAAATTATAAATTAATGACTTCAGAAGGAGTGCTAACAGCAACAAAAGTGCTAATCATTGCATTTCCTTTTTACTTTGCACTGTGCTCCAAATGTCATCAATGGCCATAATCATATAATCCCCTCAAATATTGGATGACGCTTGTTGCATTATATTAACACTAGATATTGTCTTTCCTTTCTTTTATAGTCTTTCTCTTTATCACCCCATTTCCACCTATGGATGGCATTTGCTTTCTACTCAGTGTTCTACTACATTCCTAGTCCAGTAGAGCAACTGTGGGTGCAAGAAGCACAAAATTCACATAAGTAGTGTATTGCCGGGCTGCCATGATACTTTTAAACTTCCTTCGTGAGCCCAACCAATTTATACACATCGTAACGTCAAAATCCTTCATCTTTCAAAGTCGCAAACTACCTGTAAGACGTTTCTATCAACTTCTATCCCAGTATCCTTAGGTAACTAGTACTATGCTCAATGTCCTTTCTAATACTTCAAACTGCATGATAATCCTAAGCACTGCCATTACTTTCAAATAATTTATCCTCTCCTACGTTCAAAGTGTTTAGCCATAATCTATCTGTGTCAATTAATTGTGGAACAAAACTTTTCAAAACCTCTAGTTTTCTCATACTATGTGGGCTTTATCGATCATGTTAGGTCCCAAATCAACAGAT